ACGACCGCTTGTATTGCTATCGTAGTTTTTTGGTATTGTATTTGAACCTATCTACGTCCCTTTAGCGAAACACCCAAGACTACATTGCACAAGTGTCGTGCTGGCGTCACCGCCACTTAGTAGTGGCGAATGGCGGTGGTTGCTGAATATCAGAATGCAACTGAGTCACCGATAGCTTAGAATGTATCAGCCACAACGTCACGACCTGCCACTGCAAACGCAGAGGCAAAGATCCACCCAGGTAGCCTCTAGCAGGGCTGTAGGGGCAAGTGCTGTCAGTAGCGAAGACAAAGATACCCCAGGTAGCCTCTAGCAGGGCTGTAGGGGCAAGTGCTGTCAGTAGCAAGTAGACATAAAGACAAAATCCTCAGGTAGCCTCTAGCAGGGCTGTAGGGGCAAGCGCTGTCAGTAGCAAGTAGACATGAAGACAACAATCCCCAGGTAGCCTCTAGCAGGGCTGTAGGGGCAAGTGCTGTCATTAGCAAGTAGAGATAAAGACAAAATCCCCAGGTAGCCTCTAGCAGGGCTGTAGGGGCAAGTGCTGTCATTAGCAAGTAGAGATAAAGACAAAATCCCCAGGTAGCCTCTAGCAGGGCTGTAGGGACAAGTGCTGTCAGTAGCAAGTAGACATGAAGACAACCATCCACATACTCTTTGGTTCTTTCGGTAAAGTCACGTAGGTAAAAAATAAAAAATAAAAAACACAATTAAAGAATAAATTAAAATAAATTAAATTACGACGTTTCGATTGCAACACAAGCAATCATCATGTGTTGCAATCGAAACGTCGTGATTTAATTTACTTTTTTACTTCTATTTTCATTTATTTTATTTGAATTTTTTACCTACGTGACTTCGTGATCTGAAGAAACTATGTGGGTGGCACGTGACCACCCAGGTACACACACAAAGATCAAAGTGCTGTTAGCGAGCACCGATGAAGGCCGGAACGACGCACGAGGGGGTGGGTGGCCAGCACCACGCCCTACCGCCTTTGTCTCCCCAGTGGCGATGTTTACACACCACACCGGGTACTCATTTGAGGCTGAGTCGACTTAGTGAAGGTTCATGACCGATTCAGCTAATCGTTACTGGGTGTTGGCCGTGAGCGGGAATCGATCCTGGGTCGCCAGGTTCATAGTGCAGCGCAGCGCTAACCGCTACACTACCGCTCCCCAACACACAGGGAAAAACACAGCGAAAAACATAGGTACACATACAGGTACACATACAGGTACACATACAGGTACACATACAGACTAGTACACACAAGGTACACACAAAGGTACACACACGAACACTCAGGTACACTCCCAGGGACAAAGATAAAGATCCCCCTTATAGCCTTAACAGACTGTAGGGGCAAGTGCTGTTAGCGAGCACCTATGAAGGCCAGAACGGTATACAAATGGGTGAGTGGCCAGCACCACGCCCGACTGCCTTTGTCTCCCTAGTGGCAATGTTTACACACCGCACCAGGTACTCATTTGAGGCTGAGTCGACCTAGGGGAGGCCCGGGACCGGTTCAGATACTCATCACTGGTGTTGGCTGTGAGCGGGAATTGAACCCGTGTCGCCAGGTTCATAGCGCAGCGCGCTAACCGCTACACTAGGGACACACACAGGTACACAGACAGGTACACACACAGGTACACACACACACACAGGTACACACACAGACAGGTACACACACAGGTACACATACAGTTACACATACACAGGTACACAAATAGGTACACACACAGGCGAACACACAACAACAACCACCGCCATTCGCCACTACTAAGTGGCGGTGACGCCACCACGACGTAGTGCAATGTATTCATCGGGTGTTTCGCTAAAGTGACGTAGATAGGTTCAAAGAAAATACCAAAAAACTACGATCGCAATGCAAGCGGTCGTCATCAGGGCATAGAGGGGTGTTTGTTTGTGCAAGGTTTGTTTCTGGAGGAGTCCCGAGGGTAAAGATTCAGTCTCCTGGCTCCGCTAAATGGGGTTTGGCCAGGAGACGTCAGACGCCTGTCACCCCGAAGCCTTTGGCACACACACACACACAGGTACACACACACAGACAGGTACACAAACAAGAACACACACAAACAGGAACACACACACACGTGTAGAACACACACACACGTGTACACACGCAATTAGACGCACTCGGAGTTGATGTCCGAATAAAGGTTCTTAGTGATCTGAAGAAACTATTTGGGTCGGACGTGACCACCTAGGTAAACACACAAAGACAAAGATCAAAGTGCTGTTAGCGAGCACCTATGAAGGCCGGAACGACGCACGAGGGGGTGGGTGGCCAGCACCACGCCCTACCGCCTTTGTCTCCCCAGCGGCGATGTTTACACACCGCACCAGGTACTCATTTGAGGCTGAGTCGACTTAGTGGAGGTTCAGGACCGATTCAGCTAATCGTTACTGGGTGTTGGCCGTGAGCGAGAATCGAACCTGGGTCGCCAGGATTCATAGTGCAGCGTAGCGCTAACCGCTACACTACCGATCCCCAACACACAGGGAAACACACAGTGTAAAACACAGGTACACACAGAGGTACACATACAGGTACACACACAGACTAGTACACACAAAAGTACACACACACACGAACACACACAGGTACACACCCAGGTACACACCCAGGGACACACACAGGTACACACACAGGTACACACACAGGTAAACACACACACACACACACAGGTACACACACAGGTACACACACAGATACACACACAGGTACACACACACAGGTAAACACACACACATAGGTGTGCACACAGATACACACACAGGTACACACACACAGGTACACACACAGGTAAACACAGAGGTACACACACAGGTAAACACACACACAGGTGCACACACATGTGTACACACAGATACACAGGTACACATACAGGTGCACACACATGTGTACACACAGATACACAGGTACACACACAGGTACACACACAGGTAAACACACACAGGTGTGCACACACACAGGTACACAGACAGATACACAGACAGGTGTACACACGACTCAGCTGAAACCGGATTGCTTGCAGCTGAATGTCAGAATGCGGCTGAGTCACTGCTAGCTGAGAATGTGTCAGCAGCAGCGTCACGATTCTGCAGCTACAGCTGTATGAGCTGCATGCCGCTGCAGGGAGTGAATTTCTGATGAACGCCGTCACGGAGCGGACTGGGAAATTCGTGATGCGGCGCCAGAGGCGGTCCCTGCCTGGGTACACACAGGTACAACAACAACAACCGCCATTCGCCACTAAGTGGCGGTGACGTTACCACGACGCTTGTGCCAGGCCAAGTGCACCTTGAGGCTACGTGAAGTGTCGAACGCCCGCTGGCAGGAGGTCACGGGGCAGACCCAGGTGCCACGGGTCGACTGACCGAGATGACCGAGATGACTGGCTGATATACCACCTGTGCCCCCTACTGTACCAACTTGCTTTGCTTTAGCCACCCGGCGCTCCGCTCGTTGTTGTGAGCGTCGCTCCTCCGCCCTCCGTTGTTGTTGGAGGGCGACTGCCTTCAACTGCCTAGTAGCGTCCTTCACGAGCCTCCTCCATAGAGGCCGATCTTGACACCGCTGGTACCAGTCATCGGCAAGTCCACTCAGCTCCACGTCCTCCTGTACCACATCACTCCATCTCTTCTCTAACCCGTGCCGCGCCCGTTTAGCCCCCTCGATTCGGCCGAACAAAAGCTGTTTAGGCATGCGGTGGCTGGGCATGCGGGCTACATGACCCAGCCAACGCAGCCTTGCCTACCGGAGGAGCTCACCGATGGGACTTTGCCCAGATCTTTCAAGGATTTGTGAGCTCCTCACACAATCCAGCCTGGTTAAACCCAGGATGGATCGTAGGCATGCCAGCCTAAATGTTTCCACACAGGTACACATACAGGTACACACACAGGTTCACTAATAGGTACACACAGGCGAACACACAACAACAACCACCGCCATTCGCCACTACTAAGTGGCGGTGACGCCACCACGATGTTGTGCAATGTATTATTTGGGTGTTTCGCTAAAGTGTAGATAGGTTCAAATAAAATACCAAAAAACTATGATCGCAATACAAGCGGGCGTCATCAGGGCGAAAGGGGTGTGTGTTTGTGCAAGGTTTGGCCAGGAGACGTCATAGACGACTGTCACCCCAGGGCCACCGGCACACACACACACATATAGATTCCCCCATATAGCCTGAACAGACTGTTTGGGCAAGTGCTGTTAGCGAGCACCTATGAAGGCCGGAACGGTACACGAAGGGGTGGGTGGCCAGCTCCACGCCCGAACGCATTTGTCTCCCCAGTGGCGATGTTTACACACCGTAACAGGTACTCATTTGAGGCTGAGTCGACCTAGGGGAGACCCAGGACCGGTTCAGATAATCGTCACTGGTGTTGGCCGTGAGCGGGAATCGAACCCGTGTCGCCGGGTTCATAGCGCAGCGCGCTAACCGCTACACTATCGCTTTTTGACACACACACACAGCCACACACACACACAGGTTCACACACACAGGTACACACACAGGTACACATACACAGGTACACACACACAGCTACACAAACACAGGTACACACAGGTACACACACAGGTACACATACACACAGGTACACACACACAGGCACACATACATTTACACATAGACAGATACACACACAGGTACACACACACACAGGTGTACACACACAGATACACTGACAGGTAAACACACACACAGGTGTACACACGACCCAGCTGAGATCGGAGTGCTTGCAGCTGAATGTCAGAATGCGGCTGAGTCACCGCTAGCTGAGAATGTCTCAGCAGCAGCGTCACGATTCTGCAGCTACAGCTGTATGAGCTGCATGCCGCTGCAGGGAGTGGATTTCTGATGAACGCCGTCACAGGGCGGGCGGGGAAATCCGTGACGCGGCGCCAGAGGCGTTCCCTGTCTGGGTACAAAAGCAGCCCTGCGAGAGAGAGAGAGAGAGTGGAGATCGTGAAGAGAGAGAGGTGAGACTCTGAGAGAGGGAGGAGTGTGCGAGAGAGGGGGTCGAGGGATATAGCCCCTAACCCCACAGTGGCTAGGGAGATGTTAACTACCTCGCCTGGTACGTAGGAGGTCGTGGGTTCGATCCCGACCTTAACGCCACGGTACCTAGGAGATGTTAACTACCTCGCCTGGCACGCAGGAGTTCGTGGGTTCAATCCCGACTCCAACGCCAAAGTGGCTAGGATATGTTATCTACCTCGCCTAGTCTACGGTAGGTCGTGGGTTTGATCCCAACCCTAATTCCAAGGTGGCTAGGAGATGTTAACTACCTCGCCTTGTATTCGAGAGGTCGTGGGTTCGATCCCAACCCTAACGCAACGGTAGCAGGATATGTTAACTACCTCGCCTTGTATACGAGAGGTCGTGGGTTCAATCCCAACCCTAATTTCAAGGTGGCTAGGAGATGTTAACTACCTCGCCTGGTCAACGGGAGTTCGTGGGTTCGATCCTGACCCTGACGATGCCTGCTGCTGCTGCTGTATATTTGGAGTCAGAGTTTATCTCTCCCTGTGTTAGCCACTGCGTGGATTATCTTCTCCGAGTAACATAAACATTGATTAGTTTCAGTCTATCGGTGTCTGTGGGTGTGTGGTTCCAAACGAGTATCTGGATCTCTAAGGGTCTTCATGAGTTTGGGTCTCAGTGGGTATATATGATTGAGAGGGGGTCAAATACTTATTTCCCTCATTAAAATGTCAATCAATTCATAACATTTTTGACATGCGTTTTTCAGGATTTTGTTGTTGTTATGCTGTCTCTCACTGTTCAAATAAACCTGCCATTAAAATTATAGACTGATCATTCATTTGTCAGTGGGCAAACGTACAAAATCAGCAGGGGATCAAATATTTTTTCCCTCACTGTAGCTCATTCAGTCCGTTAAGAGGCTGCAAGGGGGAATATTTTTCTATGTGTGGTGCCGTGCAGGTTGCAGCTGCCGTCGTTCTCATTGGTTCCCCACAAGCACCGAGTCAGCTATGACGTCACAAAGGATCGCCGTCCTCTTCATCGCCGCCATCTTGAGCGTCTCGATCACGCCCGCAATAGCTAAAGGTGAGTACAGCACGCGTGTGTGTTCAGGTGTGTGCGTGTGTGTACACGTCTATGTGTGTACGTGTGTGTGTGTACATGTTTGTGTACATGTGTGTGTACGTGTGTGTACCTATGTGTACACCTGTGTTTGTTTACCTGTGTGTTTGTGTACATGTGGGTGTACACGTGTGCGTGTTCAGGTGTGTGCGTGTGTGTACACGTCTATGTGTGTACATGTGTGTGTGAACGTGTGTGTGTACATGTTTGTGTACATGTGTGTGGGTGTACACGTGTGTGCGTGTGTACACGTCTTTGTGCGTGTACATGTGTGTGTACATGTGTGTGAGTGTAGCCACGTTTTGTTTAATGTAGGAGTTGTTCAGATGTTCAAACTTGTATGTACGCTGTATGTTGGACCTCTTTTGCACCGTTACGTAGCCAATCGCGCTCATTGGAGGTCCGGGGGAAGTCGTGTATAGTAGTGTATAGTGTAGTGTGGAGTGTATAGTAGTGTAGTAGTGTATAGTGAAGTGTATAGTAGTGTAGTGTGTTGTAGTGTATAGTGAAGTGTATAGAAGTGTAGTGTGTATTAGTGTACAGTTTAGTGTATAGTGGAGTGGAAAACGTGTATTGTGTATTAGTGTATAGTGTAGTGTATAGTGTAGTGTATATTAGTGTAGTGTGCAGTAGTGTATAGTGTAATGTATAGTGGAGTGTATTGGAGTGTAGTGTATAGTGCAGTGTATAGTGGAGTGTATAGTAGTGTAATGTATAGTAGTTTATAGTGCAGTGTAGTGCTATGTACAGTAGTGTAGTGTGTAGTAGTGTATAGTGGAGTGTATAGTGTATAGTAGTGTAGTGTATAGTAGTGTAGTGTGTAGTAGAGTAGTGTGCAATGTATAGTGTAGTAGTGTCATCTATAGTAGCGTAGTGTATAGTAGTGTATAGTGTCGTATATGGTAGTGTAGTGTATAGTAGTTCAAAGTGGAGTGTATAGTAGTTCGAAATTTGAAGCTTTCGTGACTGCAAGGATTCATACTCTTAGGTTTTTTCGGTAAAGTCACGTACGTGACCCCCTCCCCCTTAACTTGTATTTAAGAGCTTGTCTTTCGGAATTTTTCCTCACTTGATACAGTAAATTTAGCTGTGACGGTCCCACCTGATGACGGAGACTTGTGTTGCCTCCGAAACGTCGTGATTTATTATTTTATTAATATAATTATTTCCATTATTTTTATTATTTTTATTTATTTTTACCTACGTGACTTTACCGAAAAAACCTAAGAGTGTGTACAGTAGTGTCATGTACAGTGTATAGTAGTGTATCGTGTCGTGTTTAGTAGCATAGTGTTAAGTGTCAAGTAGCGTGATGTATAGTGACGTATCTAGTAGTGTATAGTAGTGTAGTGTAAAGTACTAGATAGTGGAGTGAATAGTAGTGTATAGTGCCTTGTATAGTAGTGCATTGTATGGTATAGTGTAGTGCATCGTTGTGTCGTGTATATTAGCGGAGTGTATAGTGTACCATATAGTAGTATAATGTATAGTGTTGTGTATAGTCGTGTAGTGTATAGTAATGTAGTGCATAGTGTAGCATATAGTAGTATAATGTATAGTGTCGTGTATAGTGGTGTATTGTATAGTTTTGAGGATAGTATAGTATATAGTGTCATGCATAGTAGTGGTGTATAGTAGTGTTGTGTATAGTGTAGTGTATAGTGTAGTGTGTAGTAGTGTAGTGTATAGTGTAGTGTGTAGTAGTGTAATGTATAGTAGTGTAGTGTGTAGTAGTGTAGTGTATAGTAGTGTAGTGTACAGTAGTGTAGTGTATAGTAGTGTAGTGTATGTTAGTGTATTGTATAGTACTGTAGTGTATTATGTAGTGTATTGTAGTGTATAGCATTATGTATAGTAGTGTAGTGTATCGTGCCGTATACAATAATGTAATGTATATTAGTGTAGTCTATAGTGTCGTGTATAGTAGTGTAGTGTGTAGTAGTGTATAGTAGTGTAGTGTGTAGTAGTGTATATTCGTGTAGTGTATAGTGTCGTGTTTGTAGTGTAGTGTGTAGTAGTGTATAGAGTAGTGTATAGTAGTATAGTATATAGTGTCGTGTATATAAAAGTGCAGTGTAATAGTATATAGTAGTGTAGTGTATATAGTAGTGCATTGTATAGTGTCACGTATAGTGTATAGCGTTGTGTATAGTAGTGTAGTGTATAGTAATGCAGTATAGTGTATGGTATAGTAGTGTGCTGTAGTATAAAGTAGTATAAGTACTCCTCTACTTACGAGCACTCACAGATACGTACAAACCTGTCACTATCTCCATCTGCCTTTTTTTAACGAGAGTCGTACATCTGCAGAACATGAAAAATCACTGGTATCTTCAAATACAAAACTCAAAGAACCCGCGGCATCTACATCTGCAGGTATAGTAGTGAAGTATATAGTGTCGTGTATATAAAGTGCAGTATAATAGTATATAATAGTAAATAGTAGTGTAGTGTATAGTAGTGTAGTATATAGTATGGTATAGTAGTGTGTAGTAGTGTATAGTTCTTCTTGGTTCTTTCGGTAAAGTCACGTAGAATGGAAATAATAAAATAATTAAAATTAAACATAATAAAATAATTATCACGATGTTTCGCCACAAAGCAAGCAGCCGTCTTCAGGTGAAGAACAGGTCTGTTGGAAAGACAGCGTTTGAATGACAGCGTCTTTCCTACAGACCTGTTCTTCACCTGAGGACGGCTGCTTGCGTTGAGGACGACTGCTTGCGTTGTGGCCGAAACGTCGTGAGAATTATTTTATGTTTAATTTTTATTATTTAATTATTTCCCTTCTACGTGACTTTACCGAAAGAAACAAAAAGATGAATCCCTGCAGTCACTCAGGCTCACACCCCTGGTGTGAGCCTGAGTGTTTAACGAGTGTTAATAAATGGCGGAATCCCTTACAAGAAGTTACTTCTCCGCGTGGTTCTACGACGCAACAGTAGTATAATGACTCCTCTACTTAGGAACTTTCAGAGATACGTACAGACCTGTCCCTATGTCCAGTTGCTATTTTTAAGTGAGAGTCGTACATCTGCAGAACCTGAAGAACCAGTGGTATCTACATCTGTAGAACATGAAGAACCAGTGACATCTTCATCTGCAGAACATGAAGAACCAGTGGCATCTACATCTGCAGATCATGAAGAATCAGTGGCATCTACATCTGCAGAATCTGAAGATTCAGTGGTATCTACATCTGCAGAACCTGAAGATACAGTGGCATCTACATGTGCAGAACATTAAGAACCAGTGGCATCTACATCTGTAGAACGTGAAGAACCAGTGGCATCTACATCTGTAGAACATGAAGAACCAGTGGCATCTTCATCTGCAGAACATGACGAACCAGTGGCATCTACATCTGCAGAACATGAAAAAGCAGTGGCATCTACATCTGCAGAACCTGAAGACCAGTGGCATCTACATCTGCAGAACATGAAGAACCGGTGTCATCTACATGTGCAGAACATTAAGAACCAGTGGCATCTACATCTGCAGAACATGAAGAACCTGTGGCATATACATCTGCAGAACATGAAGAACCAGTGGCATCTACATCTGCAGAACCTGAAGACCAGTGGCATCTACATCTGCAGAACATCAAGAACCAGTGGAATCTACATCTGCAGAACATGAAGAATCAGTGGCATCTCCATCTGCAGAATCTGAAGATTCAGTGGTATCTACATTTGCAGAACATTAAGAACCAGTGGTATCTACATCTTCAGAACCTGAAAATCTCTTGAAGCCATTCCCCGTGTTTACTGTACACGCCATACAAGGCGATTGGAATCGACATAATTAAAGTTTGGACTTACAAACACAGACCTCTGGAACCTAACTCGTTCGTAAGCAGAGGAGTCCATGTATAGTGCAGTGTGTATATCAGTGTAGTGTATATATGTGTGAGTATGTATATTTAACCGCTTTGTGCATAGTAGTGTGTAGTGTAGTGTGTTGTAATAAATAGTAGTGTATAGTGTAGTAGTGTGTAGTAGCATATGGTAGTGTACAGTGTAGTTGTAGTATATAGTAGTGTACAGTGTAGTAGTGTGTAGTAGTATATAGTAATGTATAGTGTAGTAGTGTGTAGTAGTATATAGTAGTGTATAGTGTAGTAGTAGTATATAGTAGAGTATAGTGTAGTAGTGTGTAGTAGTATATAGTAGTGTACAGTATAGTAGTGTGTAGTAGTATATAGTAGCGTACAGTATAGTAGTGTGTAGTAGTATATAGTAGTGTGTAGTGTAGTGTGTTGTAGTAAATAGTAGTGTACAGTATAGTAGTGTGTAGTAGTATATAGTAATGTATAGTGTAGTAGTGTGTAGTAGTATATAGTAGTGTATAGTGTAGTGTGTTGTAGTAAATAGTAGTGTACAGTGTAGTAGTGTGTAGTAGTATATAGTAGTGTATAGTGTAGTAGTGTTTAGTAGTATATAGTAGTGTATAGTGTAGTAGTGTGTAGTAGTATATAGTATTGTATAGTGTAGTAGTGTGTAGTAGTAAATCGTAGTGTATAGTGTAGTAGTGTGTAGTAGTATATAGTAGTGTATAGTGTAGTAGTGTGTAGTAGTATATAGTAGTGTATAGCGTAGTAGTGTGTAGTAGTATATAGTAGTGTAGAGTGTAGTAGTGTGTAGTATTATATAGTAGTGTATATTGTAGTAGTGTGTAGTAATATAGTAGTGTACAGTATAGTAGTGTGTAGTAGTATATAGTAGCGTACAGTGTAGTAGTGTGTAGTAGTATATAGTAGTGTATAGTGTAGTAGTGTGTAGTAGCATATAGTAGTGTATAGCGTAGTAGTGTGAAGTAGTATATAGTAGTGTATAGTGTAGTAGTTTTTTGTAGTAAATCGTAGTGTATAGTGTAGTATTGTGTAGTAGTATATAGTAGTGTATAGTGTAGTAGTGTGTAGTAGAATATAGTAGTGTATAGTGTAGTAGTGTGTAGTAGTATATAGTATTGTATAGTGTAGTAGTGTGTATTAGTATATGGTAGTGTATAGTGTAGTAGTGTGTATTAGTATAAGGTAGTGTATAGTGTAGTAGTGTGTAGTAGTATATAGTAGTGTATAGTGTAGTAGTGTATAGTAGTATATAGTAGTGTCTAGTGTAGTAGTGTGTAGTAGTATATAGTAGTGTATAGCGTAGTAGTGTGTAGTAGTATATAGTAGTGTCTAGTGTAGTAGTGTGTAGTAGTATATAGTAGTGTATAGCGTAGTAGTGTGTAGTAGTATATAGTAGTGTACAGTGTAGTAGTGTGTAGTAGTATATAGTAGTGTACAGTGTAGTAGTGTGTAGTAGTATATAGTAGTGTGTAGTGTAGTAGTGTGTAGTAGTATATAGTAGTGTATAGTGTAGTAGTGTGTAGTAGTATATGGTAGTGTATAGCGTAGTAGTGTGAAGTAGTATATAGTAGTGTATAGTGTAGTAGTGTGTAGTAGTAAATTGTAGTGTATAGTGTAGTAGTGTGTAGTAGTATATAGTAGTGTACAGTGTAGTAGTGTGTAGTAGTATATAGTAGTGTATATTGTAGTAGTTTTTAGTAGTAAATCGTAGTGTATAGTGTAGTATTGTGTAGTAGTATATAGTAGTGTATAGTGTAGTAGTTTTTAGTAGTAAATCGTAGTGTATATTGTAGTAGTGTGTAGTAGTATATAGTAGTGTATAGTGTAGTAGTGTGTCGTAGTATATAGTAGTGTAGTAGTGTGTAGTAGTATATAGTAGTGTATAGTTAGTAGTGTGTAGTAGTATATAGTAGTGTAGTAGTGTGTAGTAGTATATAGTAGTGTATAGTGTAGTAGTGTGTCGTAGTATATAGTAGTGTAGTAGTGTGTAGTAGTATATAGTAGTGTATAGTGTAGTAGTGTGTAGTAGTATATAGTAGTGTATAGTGTGTAGTAGTATATAGTAGTGTATAGTGTAGTATTGTGTAGTAGTATATAGTAGTGTATAGTGTAGTATATAGTAGTGTAGAGTGCAGTGTGTATATGTGAGTTCATGGAACTAATCGCACTGTGTAACCCCCACATAGAGGAGGAGTCGACCAACTGGTGGAAGATTGGTGCCATGGCAGCCGGAGGAGGTAAGCGATAACATCGCCACGCCTCCACGTGATCGCTGGTGTTGTGATGCTGCTGTGTGATGGTCAAGGATTGTGATGCTGCGTACAGTGTTTCTTGGCACAGTAGGGTGCACAGGTGGCGCATCAGCCAGTCGTCTCAGTCGACCCATGGGACCTGTTGAGTCTGTCCCATTACCTCCTGCCAGCGGGCGTTCTACACTTCACGTGGCCTTAACGTGCAAATTGGATTGCACAGGCGCCATTTTGAAGTCACCGCCACTTAGTGGTGCATGGCGGTTGTTGTTGCTGTGTGCTGTGTATGATGCTGTGTGATGCCGTGTGTGATGATGTGTATGATGGCGATGCTGTGTGTTGCTGTGTGCTGTGTGTGATGCTGTGTGATTCTGTGGGATGCTGTGGGATGCTGTGTGTGATGTTGTGGGATGCTGTGTGATATTGTGCGATGCTGTATGTGATGCTGTGTGAGGTAGTGTATGTTGCTGTGTGTGTTGCTGTGTGTGAGGCTGTGTGATGCTGTGTGTGATGCTGTCTGTGATGTTGTGTGTGATGTTGTGTGTGATGTTGTGTATGTTGGTGTCTGTGAGGCTGTGTGATGGTGACGCTGCTGCGACGCCATGCATCCGCGTGATCGTTTGTGTGACGGTGTTGTTACTATCGTTGTTGTTGTGGGCGAGCCTCCTCCCTCCTCACTGTTGTTATTGTTGTTGTTGCCATGCTTGTTGTTGTTGTGAGCCAGTGGGCGCCGTTGCTCTGGCCCCAGTGGCAATAGGAGCCGCGGGCTTCGGCGCTGGAGGGATCGCCGCTGGAGGGATTGCCGCCAAGCTCATGGCCTTGGCCGCGGCCGCCAACGGAGGTGGGGTGGCGGCCGGAGGGATCGTGGCCGGGCTGCAGGCCGCCGGTAAGGAGGCAGGGCCTCGGCTAGGAGGGCCTCTGGCCAGGGCTGTTGTCAGGGTGACAAGGGCTGTGCGTTAGTAGTGCTTGAATTGAAGGTAGATGGGTTACCAGCCCCTCGCACCCGTCCAGAGTTCCCATTGGCTGCTGTGATGGCTACAAGCACCATGAGGGGGTATTGCCAAATATATAATTGTTCGTTCCCCCATGGCGTTACTCACCACAGCGTTACCGTCCGGCACCACCGAGGAGGTAGGGGATTGTGTTTCCGGACTACACACACACTATTGACGCATACAAAGGTCACCCAGGTAGCCTCTAGTAGGGCAATAGGGGGAAGTGCTTTTAGCAGTAGCGAATAAAGTAGACATAGAGACAAAGGTGCCCCCAGGTAGCCTCTAGCAGGGCTGTAAGGGGGCAAGGGCTGTCAGTAGCCGTGACTAGAGTAGACACAGAAGCAAAGATCTCCCGGGTAGCCTCTAGTCGTGCTGTAGATACAAGTTCTGGCTAATGTACACACTCAGAGACACAGACACAGGTCCCCCAGGTAACCTCTGGATTGCCGCAGTTGCGAGATGTTAACCACCCCTTCTCTTCCTCCCCTCATCCTCCCCCTCCAACCTCCACCCTTCCCCCCCCCCCCCCGTCTCTCTCCCACCCTGCCCCCCTATCTCTCCCCCCTGCCCCTCCCCTCTGCCTGCCCCCTGTAGGAGCGGCTGGGCTGGGTTCTGCAGCTCAGGCTGTCGTGGGGATTGCCGGGGCAGCCATCGCCAAGGTTGCGGTGGACGTCTTAGAAGAGAGTATAGGGAACGAGGAGGAGGAGGAGGAGAAGTAGGAAGGTAGCAAGGTAGTCGTGGTGGACGTCTCGAACCTGTGTAGAAGGAAGGAGGAGGAAGGCAATGAGAGGGTGGGGGGGGGGTGAGTGTTGAGAGGGCAGCGCTGAGAGAGCAGCGCTGAGAGGGCAGTGTGCGTGCACAGTGTGGCTGGCTAAAAATTGCCAGGATTCAGAGACCTCTCATTGGCACGGTCTGCTACGGTGCGGCAGCAGCTACTCTGCCTTCTCCTGCCTCTAGTCCTCTCCTTCCTCTTATTCCTCTCCTGCCTCTCTCCGATTTAGTCAGTCTAGATGGTCTCGACTGTGTACTTGGTCTAGACGGTCTACTTGGTCGAGACGGTCTAGTCGGTCTTGGACAGTGAAGACAGTCTAAATGGTGTAGACCATATCGTTGGTCTAGACGGTGTAGATGGTCTAGACAATATAAACGGTCTAGAGAGTCTAGTTGGTCTAGAGAGTCGAGGTGTTCTAGATGGTCTAGATCAGGGGTCGGCAACCTACGGCTCCGGAGCCACATGCGGCTCTTTACGGGCTGCTTCTTGACGATATGTACGTATGTACAGTATGTACTCAGATGCATTGCGGCTCTTGAAATACTGAATTTTGTACCGAATTGGAAAGAAATGGTTCTTCTTGTTATTTTGGTTGCCGACCCCTGGTCTAGATGGTCTAGACCAGGGGTCTCAAACTCAAATTACCTGGGGGCCGCTGGAGGCAGTATCTGGGTGAGGCTGGGACGTATCAGGTATTCCACAAAAAAAACTTTGCTAAAAAAATCAAAACTTCTCAAATGTCATTACTAACAGTTATTTAACTTCAATGGGTTCTTCTGAACATGAATAGAATATTGAAGAACATGAACGGTTCTTCTGAACATGGCTTCTCTTGCCTACTTCTTGCTGCCAGAGACCTGGCAGCGCTTCCTCTCACATAGCTGAGCCACATTTGGCTTGAGGGAGGAAGCAGTTGAGACCCTCAGTATGGCTTGAAGATGATCATCAGTAAGTCTGGACCTGTACTTGGACTTATTGAAGTTCAAGGTGGAGAAGAGCTTTTCACACAAATATGTGCTCCCAAAAAGGCACATGGTCCGCTTGAACATTTGGGAAAGCTCAGGGAAGCTGGGGTTCAATTCTTGCAAAAATTGCCCAAGCTTGTCTTCTTTTCCACTCACCTCCCTGAACTTGGCTTTGAGGTCAGAGTTGCACTGCAGGTCAATGAGCTCCATTTGAAGCACAGGAGGGGCATCTTGCACATCAAAGGAGAAGGGATCCGCAAAAATTTGAAAAGTGGCTCTGTGCGTCTTGAAGTCTGCAAATCTGTGATAAAATTCCTCCTGTAGCCTCAAAATGGCATCAACATACTTCTCACCACTGAATGGTGTGCCTGCATTCAGGAGTGCCTTGCATGCTGGGAAATGGCAAAGGTTTGTCTGAGAGAGCTGGGCTTTCCATAACACAAGTTTTGTGGAGAATGCTCTCACGTTGTCATAGGCAGCACTGACGAGCTGCCCCTGGCCTTGTAACTTCTTGTTCAGTACATTCAGCTCATGCGTGATGTCAACAAGAAAAGCTAAGTCCATGAGCCATTTAGGATCACTTAGCACAGGAACAGCCACCCCATCCTTCTCCATGAAGGCTTTCACTTCTGCTCTCAACTCAAAAAATCTCTTCAAGACGTTTCCCCTGCTGAGTCAACGTACCTCGGTGAAGTAGAGCACATCCTCATATTCTGACTCCATTTCCTCTAAAAAAGTACGGAACATCCGGTGCTTTAAGCCCCTGGATCTGACTTCGTTGATGCATTTCACAACAACAGACATCACATTGTCAAACTTCAGGCATTTGCTGCAAAGGGCCTGCTGATGGATGATGCAGTGCAGAGCAATGGCCTCCTCCACACCCTCCTCTTCTAGTTTTCTTTGAACAAGTGCCACCAGTCCATTTTTCCTCCCTGTCATTGATGGCGCTCCGTCGGTTGTTATTCCAACAAACTTCTTCCATGGCAAACCGGCACTCACAATGGCATCACACAGCTGGCAAAATATCTCCTGAGCGGTGGTGTGGCCATGCATTGGAATTACTGTGAGCAACTCCTCCATCACTTTAAAATTGTCATCAACACCACGGACATATATTGTGAGCTGGGCAGTGTCAGTGATGTCTGAACTCTCGTCAAGAGCGACTGAGTATGCATTGAAAAATTTGGCTTTCTCACGCAGTTGATCATAAATGTCACTTGACAGGTCAGAAATGCGCTCTGCCACGGTGTTAGCAGAAAGGCTGATGTTGCCAAACTGTCCTTTCTTTTCCAAACAGACTATACTTGCAGCCTGTAAGATGCACTTTTTGATAAACTCGCCTTCTGTGAATGGATTTCCTGCCTTAGCAATCATCTCACTAACCACGTAGCTTACTTCGACTGCTGCATTATTCTCTTTGGTTGCTTTCTTGAAGACATTTTGTTGCCTCAGTAGACATGTTTTAAGATTGGCAACCCGGTTGGCTCTCTCATCTCCCTGGTATTTTGCATACTCCTCAGCATGTATAGTTGTGTAATGACGTTTGAGGTTGTATTCCTTGTGCACCGCAACTTTTTCTGTACAAATAAGACACGTCGGGGTGCTCATGTGCTCAACAAAGAAATATTGCATCTCCCACTTTTCCTGAAATTGTCTGTGCTCGTCACCAACCTTTCTCTTCACTGCAAGCTTTGAAAAAGACATGATTGGGGCTGTGTGACAAGATATATATTCATTCCACTTGCTGTCGCTCCCGCAATAAAGTTTCAGTCAAGTGTTTAGCCAACCAGCGACGCACGGAGACGTAATTTCCGCAAATGCACGTCATTTCCGCTTTTTCCGGTAACAACAGGTGCGTAGATTATGGGGGGGGGGGGGGGGGGGGTAATGCGTTCCCATCAGATTTCGTCCCCACACCCCAGTCACAGGCAGACACAGCTGTAGCGGCTGCTACTATACACGCTTCTCTGTTCAAAGCACGGGGATCTGAGCCGGGATGAGCTGTGGATCTGCGCTTTGACGCGCTCCACAGTGGAGAGCCGAAAGAAGGAGAGGAGAGGACTATATGAGGCAGCGTCATTGTGTGACCACGGGGTTCAAATGCTGCTGGCCACTGTCGGGGCTTTCGCTGCCTTCAGTCACATCATCACATTTTTCTATACATTTTGTGCTTACTTTGTGCCGGCGTGTTGGCTTGCCTGCGTTCCGGGACTTATTTGAGCAGATCCGATACCTCTTGTATCGAAAAAAATATGAATATTAAAAAAAGTTTTTTAAGAAATGATTAAAATAAAATATAACAATATAATGTAATCACTAGAAAATTACGGAGCCCCTGTTGACATCGGTGGATGAATTACTAATTTGTGGCCACGCAATAACAAGATAATCTAATAAGTTATATATAAAGCTTTCTTAACAACAGCATCACAATTTCATAAAATAATAACAAATGCAGACTTCTAAGATGAACCAAAAAATTATTATGCACATCGTCATGTACAGTCTGTGGCTCGGTGCGTAAATGTCACCACCAGAGGATGAGGGAATTTAAATCATTAAAATTCATCCACACATATCAGGTGTAAATAATAATGTAAAACAGCTCAGACTGTAAAATATTGATATTAGCTCAATGACGTGTTATAAACTGCTGCGGTTTAGAATAATCCGTCTGCGTAAAGAAGCTCCAAAAACCTCACAGCGCAGCGTGTGCGTAAAGGAGCCGTGGTGTCCCTTGAATTTGCCTTCAATTTAACAAATTGTGTGTGTGTGTTCCGTTCGTTTTCTCCGCTGGACACAGAAGTCGCCTTTGCTCAAGATGCCACTTTATTAATCACTGACACAAAGACTGATACCGTCACTGCAGTATAGCCTAAATAAGTCCCACTGCATTGTAAGTGTCATGTGTGTGCTGTTTTAAGCGTCGTTTTACGTGCATTCCGGGACCTGTGCTCGTCGTACCTGCGCTGTCATATATACTTAGCGTTCCGGCACCTTGTGATTTACAAATGAAGCACTGGATACATCATGACCTGCGCGAAAGAGGGCGGAAAACTATGAATTTTACCCTCCTGCTCTCCGCACATCCAAAGCCACTCTTTTCTCTCCCGGCTCTCTCTCTCACTCACTCTCACACGTACACAAACACACACACACGACCCCGCCCCCCATGTCACTCACATGCATGCCGCATTCACTGGACAGGCACACAGTAGGAAACCAGAGCATCATAACATTGTCCCACACAGCAGCTAACAGCGGGGTTGCTACAATATAAAACTCACGGGCCGCACTAACATTAAACTTTCATATTAAGGTGGGGGCCACAAAATATCGTCCTGAGGGCCGCAATTGGCCCGCGGGCCGCGAGTTTGAGACCCCTGGTCTAGAGAGTCGAGATGTTCTGGATGGTCTCGATGGTCTAGACGGTCTGGTTAGTGTAGACAGTCTAGTCGGTCTAAGACAGTGTAGATGGTCTAGATGGTGTAGACCATCTCGTTGGTCTAGAAAATGTAGATAGTCTAACACAGTATAGACGGTCTAGAGAGTCTAGTTGGTCTAGAGAGTCGAGATGTTCTAGATGTTCTAAATGGTCTAGATGGTCTAGATGGTCTAGATGGTCCAGATGGTCTAGTCAGTATAGACGGTCTAGAGAGTCGAGATGTTCTAGATATTCTAGATGGTCTCGATGGTCTAGTCAGTATAGACGGTCTCGTTGGTCTAGACAGTGTAGATGGTCTAGTTGGTCTAGATTGTGTAGATGTTGTAGATGGTCTCGTCAATGAAGAGGGTCTTAGTCGGTGAAGATTGCCTAGGTGGTCTAGACGGTGTTAGTGCTGAGTGCTGCACTGTAGTGTGGGAGTTTGGTTCTTCATCATCGTGGTCTTGGGGGCTGTGTTCACTTTACTCAGTTACTCTCTCAATAAAATGTATTCACAGCGGCGACGCCTGTGTGTGTGAGTAAATATGAGTGTGAGTGTGTGTGAGTGTGTGTGAGCTTGTGTGTGTACCTGTATGTGTGTTTGAGTGGGTGAGTGTGGTTGAGGGATGGCTCCCTATTGCTCAACCATGTTATGTATGCCCACGACCTGGTAATTGCAGGTTACTCAGAGGAGGAGTTGGAGGTGCTGCTGCTGAACCTGGAACGTGCCACTAAGAGGTGGAACCTTACCATCAGCCCCAACAAAACTAAGTACCTGCCTGGGTATTTTGCACTACCAGCCACTCCACCCCGAAAAGTCCCAATTGGAGATGGGGCAGTTGTGGAGATAGTGGAGAGTTTCTCATACCTGGGCAGTTTGCTCCTGACCGGCTCCGGTTTGACAGCAGAGGTTTCACTCCGAATCAGTTGAGCGGCATTATCTTTTTATCGGTTGCGTAACATTGTATTGAAGCTACCTGGTCTGTCACTCCACACGAAGCTTCAGGTCTTTTTGGCTCCGGCTATGCCCTCCCTTTGTCTACGCTTGTGAAACATGGACCCGCTAATGGAAAATATTTGCCGGGAGAAAGGTTTAGGCCAGTCTGCTATGATCCATTTTGGGTTTAACCAGGCTGGATTGTGTGAGGAGCTCACACATCCTTGAAAGACCTGGACAAAGTCCTATCGTTGTCTGGGTCATGTAGCCCGCATATCCAGCCACCACATGCCGGATGGAGGGGGCTAAATGGGCGTGGCACGGGCTAGATAAGAGATGGAGTGATGTGGTACAGGAGGACGTGGAGCTGATTAGACTTGCGAATGACAGGTACCAGCGGTGTCAAGATTGGCCTCTGTGGAGGAGGCTCGTGAAGGATGCTATTGGGCAGTTGTAGGCAGTCGCCTTCCAGCAACAACGGAGGGCAAAGGAGCGATGTTTACAACAATGAGCAGAGCACCGGGCGGATAAAGCGCAGCAAGTGGGCATAGTAGGGGGCACAGGTGGTGCATTGGCCAGTCACCTCAGTCGACCCATGGCACCTGGGTCTGCCCCGTGACCTCCTGCCAGCAGGCATTTGACACTTCCCGTGGCCTTAACATGCACGTAGCCTGGCACAAGCGTTGTGGTGACGTCACCACCACTTAGTGGCGAATGGTCGTTGTTTGTTGTCTGTGTGGATGTTACGTGTGTGTGTGTCTGTGTGTGTCAGAGTTTGTGTGTGTGAGAGTCTGTGTGTCCGTGTGTTTGTGTGTGCGTCTGTGTGTGTGTCTCTATGTTTCTGTGTGGGTGTACGTGTGTGTGTCTGTGTGTATGTGTGTGTGTACATGTGGGTATGGTGACTCCACTATGGCAGACTCACAGGGAAGTGAAACAAAAAAAACATTCTTTCTTCCACTGCTGTCACTTCATTTTACGTTTTCATTTTTTTTCTTATCATGCAATATCTACGATGGTATCACGTGGGAGAATGTACGACACCTCTTCTTAATTCGCGAGCACCACAATGCCTCCGCTCTTTGTTGTTCAGCCCCAACACGTTCCATTAATAATAATAATTTGCATTTATTTGTAAGGCGCCTTCCACTAATGTCTCAATGCGCCTTGTAAGATTAAGGTTAAGGAAAGACCAAGAGAGAAGGAGGAGCTAAATAGAATAAACGGACTTCGGAAAATGTATTTTCAAACGCGACGTAAGAGTTTCCACATTGTCGTTAAATGAATGTCCAATGATAGCGAATTCCACGACCGAGGTGCAGACACAGCAAGTCGCCCATTCACCCCATGAACACAGCCAGGGATCGAGGAATGCACAGAAGGGTGCAGAGTCTGCAGATCTTAACGACCTTGAGGGTGTGTACCGAACAGGACCCTGTGGGGTGGGCTGGTAGGAACGAATAACCAAAGAATATAAACATAATGTATTATTACACTTGTTTAGCCAGTAAAGCCCCACTGAGTCTAAAGGTTTTTCTAGGGTCCTGCCAAGTGTTTTCAGTAGGGGGCGATGTTGCTACACCTACTCGGATGATACGAAGGGAGAGTTTGAGGCCTACTTCTAGGCTTTAGGCCTAGCTGTAGGCTTTAGGCCGCTGTGAGATAATTTTTAATTTAAATGTTTCAATTATTTATGTTAAAGCTTTAAATGTAAATGTTTCTATTTAAAAACATCAGGGAGTGTAACATTGTTAAACATTAACTCCCTTTCACACACGCGGGGGTACGATAGGAAGGGAGAGTTTGAGGCCTAGTTCTAGGCTTTAGGCATAGCTGTAGGCTTTAGGCGGCCGTGAGTTAATTTTTAATTTAAATTTGTATTATTTATGTAAAAGCTTTAAATTTAAATGTTTCTATTTAAAATCATCAGGGAATGTAACATTGTTAAACATTAACTCCCTTGCACACACGTGGGGATACAATACGAAGGGAGAGTTTGAGGCGTTGTTCGAGGCTTTAGGCCTAGCTGTAGGCTTTAGGCCGCTGTGAGTTAAATTTTAATTTAAAAGTTTTAATTAAAAGCTATCTCAGGGAATTATAAGGGAATGTTACACTTGTTTAGCCAGGAAAGCCTCATTAATTTAAATGTTTTAATTAAAAGCTATCTGAGGGAACTATAAGGGAATGTTACACTTGTTTAGCCAGGAAAGCGTCACTGAGTCTAAAGGTTTTTTTATAGTCATGCCAAGTGTTTGCAGTAGGGGTCGATGTTGCTACACGGACGGACGGACGGACGATATCATCTATTGTAGGCTGGTTCACTTCGTTCCTACCAGTATTCATTATCGCGTGAATATGTGGTGGTGAAGCCGGCCCATATAAGGTTTTGAAAACAAGTAGACCGGTACAAGGGCAATGCTAAGAACCTAGACACCACTTAGAGCTTGATGCTGTTTGGAAGTCAGAACACGACAGTGCGCCGCATTTAAATTGCACATACGGTCAGCGTTATGGGAATACGTTGCGGGACCTTTTTTTTGCCTGTTATCAAACCATGAAAAATAAGAAAGGAGTTGTGTACCCTATCTGGCAGCAGCAATACAAGAGGGAGTTGTGGTTAAGATGTTCAAACACCACAACAGATAATACCTCTGCATTAACCACACATGCAGTAGTTGTGGCGGACGTGTAAACAAACATGGCTCCGATAAAACAATTCTCACGACGTTTCGGCCACAACGCAAGCAGCCGTCCTCAGGTGAAAAACCAGGTCCGTCGAGGCGACAGAGTCTGAATGAAACAGCACACGAGCTTGGAGCATATATATAAGCTGGGCGCCTTGACAAAGGAATTTGCATATCAAGAGGAATTTAGCGTATTTATGGGAAATGCAGGAATGTGATTAGTACTACATATGCATGTGCATTATGCAGGATTAACAGCATCAAAGGGAGCTGCAGGTACTGCTGCTGCTGCAGTTGCTGCTGCTGCTGCAGTTTCTGCTGCTGCTGCAGTTTCTGCTGCTGCTGCAGTTTCTGCTGCTGCTGCAGTTGCTGCTGCTGCAGTTGCTGCTGCAGTTGCTGCCTTATCCATTTTAATATAACACTATGTATTATTTTACCCACCCTAATGTGTATCACACTGCTATATATTTACTATATAATTACGACACCATACATTACTCTGCACACTGCACCATGCCAGTGAGTGGAACGCGGTCTGAAAGTCACCGTAAACGTGAACCCAATCAGTTAAGATCCGAAATGGTTTATTACGTCCTTCCAATGATTGCTAAGCCAGAATCCATCTTCTCGGTTAAAATTGTCTCTGTGTTTGTATATGTGGATCGCCTCATGAACGAATCTCTCATGATAGCCAGATGGCTTGCAGAGAACCTCTGTCTTGGAGAAGTCAATGTCATGTGAGCCCACTGAGTTGTAACAGTGATCTGCCACGGCTGAGGTGTTTGTCCTACCGTGTTTCAAGTCTGCTTTATGTTCACGGATGCGGTCTGAGACATGTCGTTTGGTTTCCCCAATGTAACTGCTACCACAGAGGCAACTTAGTTTGTAGACGCCAGGGTACTGTATGTCTGGAACCACATCTTTTACAGACGGTACCAGATCACGGATTTTATGTACTGTGTTGAATCTGACCTGGATCTTGTGTTTAATCAGGATTTTGGAGATCTTTTTTGTGACCCCAGCAATGTAGGGTAAGGTGATGGTCTTGAAAGGCTCCTCAACAGGATCCTTCTTGATGGTTGGAGTGATGGCTTTGCGGATTGTGTAGTCGGAGTAACCATTAGCCTTAAGAGCTTGGCGTACGTGTTTGAGTTCACTGCCAATGTGTTCCTGGTCGGAAATGCATTGGGCTCTATGATATAGAGTCTTGATGAGGGAATTCTTCTGGGATGGATGGTGGTGGGAATCCGGTTTTAGGTAAGCATCCGTATGGGTGGCTTTCCTGTAGACAGAGTGGCTCATTGAACCATCAGGTCTCCTTTTGATTAGGACATCCAAAAAGGGTAGCTTGCCATCTTTTTCGACTTCCATGGTGAATTTGATGGCTGGGTGTATGGAATTGATGTGTATCATGAGAGATTCGTTCATGAGGCGATCCACATATACAAACACAGAGACAATTTTAACCGAGAAGATGGATTCTGGCTTAGCAATCATTGGAAGGACGTAATAAACCATTTCGGATCTTAACTGATTGGGTTCACGTTTACGGTGACTTTCAGACCGCGTTCCACTCACTGGCATGGTGCAGTGTGCAGAGTAATGTATGGTGTCGTAATTATATAGTAAATATATAGCAGTGTGATACACATTAGGGTGGGTAAAATAATACATAGTGTTATATTAAAATGGATAAGGCAGCAACTGCAGCAGCAACTGCAGCAGCAGCAACTGCAGCAGCAGCAGCAACTGCAGCAGCAGCAGAAACTGCAGCAGCAGCAGAAACTGCAGCAGCAGCAGCAGAAACTGCAGCAGCAGCAGCAACTGCAGCAGCAGCAGTACCTGCAGCTCCCTTTGATGCTGTTAATCCTGCATAATGCACATGCATATGTAGTACTAATCAC